TAGGTCATCAGCCAGTTCACCCAGCACCATTTGTTAAATAGGGAATCTTTTCCCCCACTTAATTGATATGCAGTTTCAGTGTAATTTCTATCAAAATATTTAAGATCAGCTGGCCAAGGTGGGTCATACTTGTAATTCTAGCACTCTGCAAGGCTGAGGTGGGTATATTGCTTGAGCTCATGAGTTTGAGACCACCTCAACCATAGCAAAACTCCATTTCTCCTAAAAATAGAAAAACTAGCTGGGTGTTATGGCAGGTTCCTATAGTCCCAGCTACTTGGTAGACTGAGGCAAGAGGATTGCCTGAGCCCAAGAGTTTAAAGTTGCTATGAGCTGTGATGCCAAAGCTCTCTACCCAGGGTGACTCTGTCTCAAAAAAAATAAAAAGTAAAACATTTAAGATCAAGAATAAAAGTAAATATTCCACTGAAATAGAAAAGCCAATTCTAAAATTCATATAAAATTGGAAGAGGCTCCCAAAAAGCAAAAAACAATGTTGAAAAAGAAAAATAAAGTTAGAATATTTAAACTTATCAATTTCAAAACTTACTACAAATTATAGTAAATAAAACAGTGTCATACTGCAATAGGATAGAATATGGACCAATGGAATCAAATTGAGAGTCTAGTAATAAACTTGATATTTATGGCCAATTAATTTCTTAAACATTATTTTTTATAGAGATGGGGGGTGTATCTTGCTATGTTGTCCAGGTTGGTCCTAAATTACTGGTCTCAACCCACCCACTGCAACCTTTCAAAGTGCTGGGAGTATAGGTATGAGCCACCATTACCAGCCAGCCGACTGATTTTTGATAGCAGTGGTCAAGGGGCTCTTGACCATTCCATGAAGAAAGAATAATATCTTCAAAAAATGGTGCTGGAACAACTGGATAAACATGGGCAAAAGACTACAGTGGACCCCTACCTCACTCCCTAGTATACAAGGTCTGACAATTAAGTTCATGAACTTGCCACTGTGTGCTTACATTGGCAGCACTGTACAAATAACTCAGTAAGGTTTCATTACTTTGGTATATCAGTGTCTCATAGCTGTGTTTGTGTTGATATGTGGCAGTGTCTTGCTGATTAGAGTTCATTATTATTTGTTTGTTTAAGACAGGGTTTCACTATGTCACCCTTGGTAGAGTGCTGTGACATCACAGCTCACAGCAGTCTCAAACTATTAGGCTTAAGTGATTCATTACATTATGTGTCAAAATCATTGGCGGACTTTGAGAAGCATAGAAGACCAAGTAAACATCAACAAGGAAACAGGAAAATCTTAACTGAAAATCTTGGCATGAGAAAGGTATGGCTCTTGCATCACGGCAATGCACCACCTCACACAGCACTGTCTGTGAGGGAGTTTTTGGACAGTAAACAAATAACTCCATTGGAACAGTCTTCCTACTCACCTGATTGGATGCCCAGTGCCTTTTTTTGTGCAAAAAATGAAGTTAAAAGGAAATATTTAAAGTAAGACATTTTGATAACATTCATGACATCAAGGGTAATATGATGACAGCTCTGATGGCCATTCCAGAAGAGTTCCAAAATTGCTTTGAAGTGTGGACTAGGCCCTACCATTGGTGCATAGCTTCTGAAGAGGAACACTTCAAAGCTGATTGCAATGATATTTAGCAGTGAGGTATGTAGTACTTTTTCTAGGATGAGTTTGCAAACTTAATTGTCAGACCTTGTAATAATTAATTCCAAATTAATCAACAGCCTAAATATGGTATGAAAGCCAAACCATAAAACTTTTATGAGAAAACATAGGGAAAATCTTCAAGACCCATGATTTGTCAATAGATTCTTACATTTGATACCAAAAGCACAAGCAAAAAAATAAATAAAATAAATTGGACTTAAAAAAAAAATTTAAACTTTTGGACACTAAATAGCAATATCAAGAAAATGAAAAAACAATTAGCAGAATAGGAGAAAATATTTACAATCACATATCTGATAACAGTTTAATATCCAAAATATATAAAGAACTGTTACAACTCAACAATGAAAGACAAATGATTTGATTTTTTTTATGAGAGTTTCTCACTCCTTTGCCCAGGCTAGAGTGCCATGGCATCAACCTCGCTCCAACAACCTCAAACTCCTGAGTTCAAGCAATCTTCCCACCTCATACTCCCAAGTACAGGGAGTACAGGTGCCTGCCCTTATGCCCAGCTAGTTTTTCTATTCTTAATAGAGATGAGATCTTACTCTTGTTCAGGCTGGTCTTGAACTCCTGAGCTCAAGCAACCTTTCCTCCTTAGCCTCCAAGAGTGCTAGGATTACAGGTGTAAGCCACCAAGCCCAGCACAAATAATGCAACTTTAAGAACAAATGAAGGACTTGAATTGACATTTCTCCAAAAAAGATATGCAAACCCCAGCAAGCACATGAAATGGTGCTCAACATCACTAGTCATGAAGAAAATGCAAATCAAAGCCACAATGACATAGCACTTCACACCACTAGGATGAATATAATAATAATTTTTTTTAAAGTCTTGGAAAGGATGTAAAGAAACCAGAACACTTACACATCGCAAGTGGGAATATAAAATGGTACAACCACTATGAAAAAGAGTCTGGAAGTTCCTCAAAAATTAAACTGAGGATTACCCTATGACCCGGAAATTTTGCTATGCTAGGTAGAGAAATAAAGACATATTGTTCACACAGAAATTTGTACACAATGTTTACTGCTGCATTAGTTACAATCGCCAAAAGAAGAAATACCCCAAACGTCCATTGGCAGATGAGTGGATAAATTGTGGTATAAACATAAAATGGTAATATTATTTAGCCATTAAAAAGAATGAACACTGGCACATGTAAATGCTACAATTCAATGGACTTCCAAAATATTGTTCTAAGTGAAAGAAGCCAGGTACAACAGGTCACATATCATGTGATGTCTTCTACATGATATATCCAGAATGTGCAAATTCAAAAAGACAGAAAGGTTAGAGCTTGTAAGGGGACAGTATGTGGTGGTGGAGAGGGGAATAGGGAGTGGTTATTTAATGGGTACATACACAGTGTTCTGGGGTGATGAAAAAGTTTCAGAATTAAAGAAAGATGATGGTTGTACAACATTCTGAATGCACTAAATGTCACTGAGTCATAATACTTTAAAATGGTTAATTGTATGTTATGTGAATTCACAGTTTAAAAAATGGGTCATAACCTTGTGTTTAGCATATCCTGTTTAAATTAAAAATGCAGACAAGATAAAAACATGTTAGATCCATTGAACCCCATAAATGCATTAATGTATTAAAAAAAAGTGTTAGATCGTAATTCAATCACAAAATGAATATCAATGAGTAGTGAGAAATCAAGTAATTTCAATTGGTTTCTCTTTACTTAAACTATTTTTTTAATTTTCCAACAATTTAAAAAAGGAATCACATGTTAAATGTTTTAATAACTAGGAAAGAGAGGCCATAGTGGCATTGACTAATAAGATTTCTAAGACCATGGTGAAAATCTTTATGCTATAGGGTTAAGCGAGGATAAAAAAAAAAATCACACTGTATACACAGTACGAACCCAAGTATTTAAAATGCATGGCTTATGGTAACAGTCAGTCTGTGGGAAATAGGCAAGAAAGTGCTGTTTTTCCTTGCTACTTTCCAAATTTTCTTAATAATTATATATTATGACTACAATGAAAAGGCAACTTTACCTTTAAAGTGTTTGCTACTGGGCAAGCTAAGTTCAAAAAAGTAGAAGTTTGATAAAAATGGTTTGCTATTGACAAGGAAGATACACTGGATTTATGTATTTTGAAACATAACTACTTATCACAGAAAAATTGTAAAATGCAGAAAATATAAAGATAGAAACTTAAATTACCACAATCCAACCACCTAGAGATATTTAGTTGTTCTTTTAACAGAATTCAGCTTGAACTGTTTAGAAACAATAATCCTTCACTTCCATTCTAGTGAGAACACCGACATCACCTGTTTAGCAGAGGTGTACTGTGAGCCTATTCCGTGCTGGGCCTGCTCTGTAAGGACGGGTCTCCGGACAGAGACTACTGAAGGACAGTTGCTGATCGTTGCCTGGCGTGCTTTCTCACCTCGCGTGGTGTTAGCAGTTTAGTAACTTGAATGTTTTCTGGGGAGCCAGCCCTTTCCCATTCATGCAAGAAGTTTAAGTCCCCAGCCTACCCAAAGAAGGAGTAACCCAGACGTAAGTCCATCTATGGATTCAATATCTAGAGCCACAGAGATTCATTAATTTGGGCCAATAAATGTCAAGTTTTTTTTAAAACATTGAGAATAAAGGTGGACACTTATCACACTGAGCGTTCACTAATTAGAGATGTTAGAAGTCCCCTAGGAAGGAAGCAGTGACAATGAGTGGGTTGCTAGATGGGTCTAGTAGACAGTGGCCATGCTCCACGTCCTCCTCCCCACTCTACTCTTGTCAGAGTCTCTGCCACCAGATGCTCAGCTCTCTAAGGAAGGAGAGACATCGCCAACATGCTTAGTTCTAGCACAAGAAAAGGGCCCAAACACACACTGCTGAATAATTCTCCTGACGGACTTAGCAGCATGGCCATGGAGGAACTGGTGGTTCTATCACGTGAACTCAGGGTACTGGGGCTGCAGTACCTCTCTGGCCAATACCACATCCTATACCCCCCACCTCAAACACTGGGTTTCTACCTGGGCTGGAACCACTGGCCTGCTGTGTCACCAGCTGTGGTACTGGTATGGTCACCACATGATTCTCACACAACCACCCTGAAGTTGTTATCTGGAAGATTCTCATGCACCACATGGTTGTTACATGACCACCTAAAGAAAAAGATGGATGGGGAAGTGAGGGCCTTTCCTAGAAAGCCTTCTGTGATGAAACACCACAAAACCAGAGGGGGACATGAGGTCACTGAGCACACCACACCTCCTTCCTCTCCTGAGCACTAAAAAGAGCAAGGAGGGCACCCCTGTGGCTCCAACCTGGGCAGCCACCATGATGCAGCCACTCCTGCTCCCACTCCTGCTGGCCTTCTTCCTGATCCCCAGGGCAGAGACAGGTGAGTGACCATCCCAGCCTCAGACCCCCAGACCTATCCTACAGACCTCCTGCCCCTTCTGCACATCCTGGATCCTTCTACCTATCAGGAACATTCTGAAACCCAGGTCCAGTCCTTCTACAGGACCCCTCAATGCTGAGTGCGCCCTCAGCAGGAATGCCAGGGCAGAGACTGTTCTTAGGAAGAGCCAGTGGGTACTGTCCCCTCCCCAGGTCTCACCCTTGTCATCTGGAAGTGCGTG